AGAACTGAGAGATCAGAAACTTTCAAAAATGTCGTGAAGGGGAAGACAGAAGGGTGTTTTGAGAACTCAGAGAAAAGAAGAGTGTCAACTGCATCAGTTATTTACACAGGATCCTCTTATTGTGCTTTCTGCAGTAAGAAACACAAGTCTGAGAAGTGCTGGGATATTCAGCAGATCTCACTGAAGGAACGTGAAGGAAAAATTAAATTTGCCTGTTTATGTTTTAACCCATTGCCACCGGGGATGGCATGTACGTACATGCCATGCCCACTGTGAGTCGACTTGTTTGATTGCTTTTACACATAGATGGCTACACTTGTACTAAGTATCCAATGAGCCAATTACGAGTACTGCCTGTCTCGCCCGTTCACCTTTTTAACTGATTTACGAAAATATTTAACGTTTTAAGTTTTCTCCCGCCAATTCAAGGAAAGGTGAAATCAGGACTAGCAGAGCCATCTATGGACAGAGATATTTCACAAAAATATAAAAAACGAGTACTGTATTTCCCCCATTTTTTGTTCATTTTCCCCAGCGGCAATGGGTTAAGTGTCTAAGTAAGGGGCATATTGCTTGTGGTAGTTGAATCAAGTGCTCCAAATGTAATGGTAATCATAATTTTCTCCTGTGTAGATCATGTCTACACAGAAGATATGACCTCAGAGTGACAATCATTAATCAGGGAACCCGTCAGCTGGGTGACCTGACCTCACTTTCTCTCACTTCCTGTCGGTTGACACGTGAAATAGGTTGAGAGACAGCTCGCTGTTCCCATTAATTGATTTTGTAATTGTTTACAACATAGGGATAACGCGTAGCATTACATGTTCATTGGTGATATGTTCTATCGGCGCTAGATCGGAGCTTGTAACGCAATTTTAAATACATTTATTATTTTGAGTATAGTGTTAGTATCTTCCCTATATCATAGTGCACAGGGATGCCTGATTAACCTGGGGTTGCGTATATGCCTAACAGATCTACCCTCCGACAGAAGTTGTTCATATGCTTGGCAACTTTTGATTCATTGTGAACCCAATCTTTTGCCTGCAATTTTGTCAATCGTGACGAGTGACTAGTACATGATTTCTTATTTTACTACAATTCTTCTGTGTTACAACAATTGGTTCAAGTATATTGCTGTTGTCGTTTCCCTTATCTACTCTCATATCAGAGATGGTTAATAGTTTAAGCCAGGTCCTTGCGGATCGCTACTGACGTCTCCCTCTTCTATTTTCTTCATCTTCGTGAAAGTAAAACACAAAATTAAAAAAAGACGAAAGTAACGTGCCTTTCTTTTTCTCTTTCTATCTTGGCCCTTACACGCATAATCTGGTTCACTGATCTCTGACACGGTATCGAAGGAGGACCTTGCTGCAGAAACAGTCACCTTAGAATGCTGTGGGAGTACGTCACCGAAAGATCGCCGGATGTGGAAGGGCGCTACCTGCCAGGATAACAAGAATGTTTGGACAAGCGCACAGCCGAGAAGAATCTGGACGAGATCTGCGAGGACATGCATTGGGCAAGTACGCTGCCGAGTTAGGCCTGTACTAGAACTACGAGGAGGACTGGACGAATCTAAAGTCAGGGAGGACCTGTGAGAGACCTTCGAGGATGTGTGGACGTCGAGTACGGACGGATTTAACAAGGCCTGGTATAAAGAAGACAAGGATGAGCAGCCACGAAGATGCACCAGGGACAACGTATGCGAGAACGAAATGACCAGCAAGTCAGGACCAGCCAAGTTGGATCACCCTTGAGGCAAATCTAAGGCGCCTCGAGGGCGAGGCATTAGTAGGTGGCCGAGCAATATACCGTGTACCTAACCACGATTTGTGTATGACAGCCGATATAGACCATGTGGCTGTTTGCCATGTGGCTCGAGGTCCAGTGGAGAACAATCGCTTCAGTGAGGAGTAGCTGATGAGTTATCTGACCTTGTTTAGCCTCAACAGTCGTGCCCCAGGGTCCAAGGGCTCAGGTCATATCACCACCCTTCCCCCCCCATAGGTATAGTCGGCAGTCCACCCGACCTCCCCACACTTGGCACTTACCCAAGACTCGTCTCGTGTTACCATCAATTGTTGTACTTTTCCGAAATAAAGAATCAAGCCGTCATACCACTAAATCTACCCCTGCAAACCAATGTTTAAGGCATCATACAGAGCCAGATCCAGGATTGTTAGAAAGGGGGGGCATAACCCCTAGCGGAGACAATTGCAAGTGCCAAAGGCACGAAGCCTAAGCGGAATAGAAAGTTTCTATCAATTATCCCTTCTATTGCTGACTGGGACTTTTCCTACCTATATCCCACATCTTTCCCTGATGATGTGTAGAAAATTCCTGGTCTAAAAAAAATCATTACTCTGCCAAAAATAGGGGGGGTATGCCCCCCGCCCCCCTGGATATATATATATATATAAAGCCTTTTACAGTGTGTGGGGGGGAGAGGGAGGGAGGGAGGGAGGGAGGGAGGGAGAGAGAGAAAGGGAGAGAGAGAGAGAGAAAGGGAGGGAGGGAGAGAGGGAGGGAGGGAGAGAGAGAGGGAGGGGGGAGAGAGAGAGAGAGAGAGAGAGAGAGAGAGAGAGAGAGAGAGAGAGAGAGAGAGAGAGAGAGAGAGAGAGAGAGAGAGAGAAAGTGAGAGAGAGAAAGAGAGAGAGAGAGAGAAAAAGAGAGAGAGAGAGAGAGAGAAAAAGAGAGAGAGAGAGAGAGAAAAAGAGAGAGAGAGAGAGAAAAAGAGAGAGAGAGAGAGAAAAAGAGAGAGAGAGAGAGAGAGAGAGAGAGAGAGAGAGAGAGAGAGAGAGAGAGAAAGAGAGAGAGAGAAAGAGAGAGAGAGAGAAAGAGAGAGAGAGAAAAAGAGAGAGAGAGAAAAAGAGAGAGAGAGAGAGAGAGAGAGAGAGAGAGAGAGAGAGAGAGAGAGAGAGAGAGAGAGAGAGAGAGAGAGAGAGAGAGAGAGAGAAAAGAGAGAGAGAGAGAGAGAGAGAGAGAGAGAGAGAAAAGAGAGAGAGAGAGAGAGAGAAAAAAAAGAGAGAAAAAGAGAGAGAGAGAGAGAGAAAGAGAGAGAGAGAAAGAGAGAGAGAGAGAAAGAGAGAGGGAGGAGGAGAGAGCAGTGAGAGGAGAGGGAAAAGAGGGAGGAGAGAGCAGCGAGAGGAGAGGGAAAAGAGTGAGGAGAGAGCAGACAGAGAAGAGAGGTGAGTGTGAAGGGTATGATTTTGACCTATTATACATTGGTAACAGGACAGTAAAAGCTTGGTAGCTTAACTTTATTTATTCCTGTAAGAGTTCAGCAAACGGAAATATGTATAAACACAACGAGTGTTGGGCGTATGCTTGGGTTGCCTAAGGTCAAGATGCGGCCCCCAGCCCCCAGCGGGCAGACAGGACGCGAGGATCAGATGTGACCTCGGCCGCGGCAGGGCACACTCTGGTGACCAGGTCAAAGTGCGGCCCTTAAGTATCCAAGACGCTGGCTTGGGGGGAGAGGAGGCGTCGAGGCATGGGGCATCATGGCGTACCCAAGCGACGCTGGCGTGGCTTGGGGACGCAATGGCCAAAGCACCCACATGGCTAACGAACTGCCACATGTCCTATACTGCTTACTACACAATTACTACACAGTATAGAGAGAGAGAGAGAGAGAGAGAGAGAGAGAATGTGAGAGAGAGAGAGAGAGAATGTGAGAGAGAGAGAGAGAGAGAATGTGAGAGAGAGAGAGAGAGAGAGAGTGAGAGTGTGAGTGAGTGAGTGAGTGCATGTGTGAGTGAGTGCGTGTGCGCGTGTGTGTGAGATGAAATGGATGAAAACAATAATCTTAACCCACTGCCAACAGGTATGGCATGTACGTACTGTGAGATTATTTGTTCAACTGTTTTTATATATAGATGGCTACACTTGTTCTAAGTCACCAGTGAGCCAATTACGAGTACTGCCTGTATCATCTCCCACTTACCCTTTTCCTTTATTTACGAAAATATTTTACGTTATCTTATTTTGCTGTTACTAATGTTTATAACATTATAGTAGTAAAAATATTTACAATAAAAATAACACCATCAATACTCATAGCATTAGTAAAAGATACATTTTTCCCGCCAATTCAAGGAAAGGTGAAATCAGGTAAGATCACAAGGGACAGGCCGCGTGGCTAAGCACTAGCAGAGCCACCTATGAGCAGAGACAATTCACAAAAATATAAAGAATGAGCACAGCATTTTTCCCATTTTTCATTCATCTTCCCCGGTGGCAATGGGTTAAAGGGTATAATAATCTCATACTTTTGACACCTTAGCCCACCTTTGGAGATTCGAAAATTGGCTACTATGTTGTTCTTCTTGTAAACAACATTAGGCATCTAATCCCTCATAACTAAAGAAAGCAAATATCAATTTAGGTACCTGTACATGATAGTGACACTAAACAAATAATGCCACTACAATCAGCAAAAGATAAGCTCCAAGCAGCCATGGGCATGAGGTATGTCGATTACAGTGTCTCACTCAACTACAGCTGAGATATAAAAGAATGTCTGTGTTCAAAGTATTATTTCACATTCTAATTATATGGTAAAAAAAAAGGCATAACTGTATAATACAAGTCATCATATTAGCTTTTCAATCATTTTCAAAACAATTTAGTTTAACACATGAAACAAAATGAAAGGTATGCTACTCACCTTTATAGGTGATGAGTGCTTATTGTGATAAATATATATACTCCTCCCTTTTTATAATATATTTTTATTTTGTGATATTTGGACAGAATTTGATAATCTTTAAAAAGAAAAGAAAGAAAACTAGTTGTGCAAATTACTTGGTAACACTAGATAGCATCTCTTTAATGTTACTCAAATTTACATTGTAGCTAACTGGTAAAAAAAAAACAATGATAACAAACAAATAAATAAATAATAAAATATAAATAAATAAAACAGTTATCAAAACTTTAAAACTGGACTTGAATAATCAAAAATCAATACAAGCTTTCTCAGTTACACATAC